AGGATTATCCAGGCCTGGAACAGAGCTGGGATTCTATGAAACCTCCTTGAGAGCTATGCTGGAGGCTCAGGCAGAGCTGGCAGGGAGGGATGGAGCCTGGCAGGGAGAGATGGAGCCTGGCAGGAGAAAAGCCCTGGCAAGGAGCTGCCGGCAGAGCCTGGGGAGAGCCAGGCTGGAGCTGCCTCGGGAAGAGCATCCAGACTCCTGCAGGGAAAACGACGCCCCAGGCAGCCAAGACAAGTATTTAAGGATGTCGCTGTGGGTAAACAGACCTGGAGCAGGAGATGCTCGGAGCAGGAGGAGTCGGTTGGAGTGGGAGGAGTCACCTGGAGTGGGAAAGGCTCGAAGCAGGAGGAGCTGCTCAGAGCAGGAGCTGCTCGGAGTGGGAGATGCTCAGAGTGGGAGCTGCTCGGAGTGGGAGATGCTTGAGGAGAAAAGGAGGCTCAGGGAGGACCTTCTTGCTCTCCACCACTCCCTGCCAGGAGGTGCAGCCAGGTGGGCTCAGGTTCTGCTCCCAAGCAACAAGGGGAAATAGCCTCAAGTTGTACCAGGGGAGGTTTAGCTTGGAGATTAGGGAAAAGTCTTCCGTGGAAAGGGTTGTAAAGCATTGGAACAGCCTGTCCAGGGATGTGATGGAGTCACCATCCCTGGAGGGATTTAACAGCCACATGGAAGTGGCACTTAAGGACATGTTAGTGATGAACATATCAGTACTGAGGTTGGACTTGATAATCTTAGAGGGCCTTCTCAACCTTAATAATTCCATGATTCCATGATTCTCTGAGCTGTCCCAGCAGCCACTGAAGAGCCATCACCATGCAAGGTGCAGCAGGACCTGGAGAATGAAGCTCCCAGCACTCAGCCAAGCAGCAGGTGCTCCTAGAGAGCTCAGCCCTGGTGAGAGAGAAGCACTTGGGACCTCTTTCCGGTGGAAATTTATGAAGCAGCTCCTGGTTGTAAGTCAAAAATAGTGCCTGGAAGCTGGTTGGAAATTTTGAGTGCAATCCAAATGGTTTTCCAGCACAGAGGAGCCCCAGATTTATGTGGTGATGCTGCACTGCAGCTCTGGCTGCTGCACAGAGCGTGGAGCAGAACCCTCTGTGCTGCTCCTGGTGAGGCACAGATCAAATGGCTGCAGGGCTGGGGCTCAAGAGCTGAATTCCCTTCATGGAACAGAATCAGTAAGGTGGGAAAAGACCTCTCAGATCCTCAAGGCTAATGGTTGGACTGTCTGCTCTGAGATGCTCTTCCCATCCTACATCCTGAAGGTTTCTCTCTCCCAGCAGTGTCTGGTGGTCCCTGATGGGTCCCTCCTGTGCTCAGGTGCTGCTCTCACCTCCTCTGCCTGCCCTGGCAGCTCACCCAGCTCTACTCCATCCCCCTGAGCTGCCTCTTTTCCTCCTGGACAGCTGTGGGATAAGAAGCTCCAGATCTTTGCAATGAATCTGAGTGCTCAGGACAGATTTATACCATCTAACCTCAGATCTCTGTTCCCAGCAGTGCTCCCACAACCCACCTGTGGTGGGTTTCCAGCCTTCACACCATATGTTAGGTAGAAATCACATCAGAGATGAACTGCCACACTTTGCCCTGTAAACAGCAGATTTTCCATGCCCAAATCCATGGAAGAAGTGGCAGTGGTTGCCCCTTTGCTGAGATTCCTTGTAGGCATTTCCATGGGCTGAGGTATTGCCCCAAGTTTTGGGACTCCTGAAGGTCAGTGCAGCTCCAAGGGCCTCAGAGCCTGCTCAGGGCTGTGGTGTCTCCTGGAATTAGCTGGCAAAGAGACATGAGGAGAGGTTAGAGGCTGGAGATGAGCAAAGGAAGAGGTTTTCAGGTCCAGGTGAGGCACAGGGAAAGCCACAGGAGCTGTGTGAGGAGCTCAGGGCTGATGATGACCATGAGTTCCTCAGCTTCCAAGACCCTATTGAGATGGAGCAGGAGAAATCCTGGAAATCAGGCAACACCAGCAGCTTTGAGGGCCAGGGGAGAGGGTAAGGATGGAGAGAAATCACCTCACTGCAAATCATTCCATTTCCCTTTGGACTGATGTTTCTCCTGAGTAAGACTTGACTGAGACACTCACACTCATCCCACAGGGCAAGAGCATCCCAAATCTGTTCCACAGGTGTGAGCCAGGACAATTCCAGAGCTATCCTAAGTTGGATCCTGCACAATCCAGTGCTCCAGCACATGAGGGATGGATTTCTCCAATGGGAACACAGTGGGAGGGATGGGATGAGCTAAGAATAGCCACAGCAGAACCTCATAGCCAAGGACAAAGAGCAAAATCTGGTGGGAACAGCCTGGAACTGATTTGGGTTTGATTTTTCCAGGGATAAAGCAATGAAATATTGAACTGAGTTCTGATGGAAGTTTTTCTCCTGTAGATAAAATTCTCCAAAGGAAAAGGCATCAGGAATGGAAGGCTGGAGCTGGGGGGTGGGTTGGGACCTGGGAGAGAGAACTCCTGGAGCAGGTGGAAGGTCCCTGAAGGTCAGAGCAGAGTCACCAAACCTCACACCTGAACATGGCACCAGATCCATGAATCCCTGAATTCTGGGAACTCGGGTAGAAAGGACTCCATGGCCAAAGGAGCTGTGTCCTATGGACAACTCCTCCAGCTCTCCTGCCCATGGGGAATCACATTCCAAGTGATCCCATCTCTTCAGCCTGACTTATTTTGGAGTGGGGGAATCACATCCCAAGTGATCCCACTTCAGCCTGGCTTATTGCTGACTGGGATTTTGGGGCTTGTCCCATTCAGATCCAAGAGTAGTTCTCAGTGATACTTGTGGGTTCCTTCCAGCTCAGGATAGTCTATATTCCATACCTCAGTGCCTGCACTGCCCAGGATGATTCCAGGAGGGTTGAGGAGCATTCCCTGCCACCATGGCACCCCCAAATCCCTCTCCCAGGGCTTCACTTCCAGACACAGAACTCTGAGCACATCTCCAGCAGCCAAGGGAGGGACAGGGGATGAGCCAACCCTGATCCATCTGTGACAGGGAACATGAGGAACCTCATTTCATCTCCAAATCAGAACTCAACCAACAGCCACACGGTTATGTGGCTAAAGATACCACCAGGAGGGATTAAATTCACGAAGCACAGCCTAAAAAAGTAGCAGTTCCCCAAAGTTCTGCACAAGCTGTGCAAGGAGAGCTGAGAAATGGGCTCAGTGCTGGGTGGAGAAGGAAATCTGGGGCTGGTGAGGAGCAGCAACAATGAGAGCTGCTCTGCAGTAGGTAAGGCAAGGAAAGACATCAATCTCCTTGTTTCAATCCCTGGGACCAATGTGGTGGGCAAGTAGTTCAGGAGGGGAATGTGGGATTGACTCAAAGATTGTCTTGTCACTGATCCCAAATCTATCAAGTAGAAGTTTACAACATCTCTGTGCAAGAGAAGATGTTAGAAGCCAAAGTCAAAGCTGTGCTTGAGGTTTCTCCCCAGTGCAGAGAGATTGCTGCAGGTGGATCTGCTCAGATCTTTAGTCTGTGAGCTAATACTTCAGATATCTGAGGAAAAAAATGGAGTTATTCCACTAGCAAAGCACCAGTGAGAGCTCTGGGGGATCAGGGAGGCAGCAGGGACAACATCCCACCCACAGCCTGTCCTGGGGGTGACCAAATCACTGAGTGTGGCAGTCAGACACTCGGGGAATCTTCTCAGGGCTTAGGGAAGCCTCTGCTGTTGGACTTGCCACACTCCCAAGAAGCTACCAGAGCTCAAGGTCTCACCCCAGGGCTGGGAGCCACAATCCAGCTGTGCTCAAAGGAACTGCTCTGGACACTCAGAGGAGAAGGAAGAAGTGGCAATTATTGTCTTTAATCATATCAAGGCAGTGTGTCCTGCACCACCCTGGGCTGGGCACAGGCAGCAGATCTGTGATTTCCTCTTCCACCAGCAACTTCTTCTTGACAACCTCAGCTTGCCTTACAAGGAGGCAAGTGATGCACTGACCAACAGCTCAGCTCCAGCACAAGCCCAAACCCTGCAGTGTGTGTGAGTGTGGCACCAGCTCAGTCCCTGCCACCCCCAGGTGCCACCTGAGCCCCCAGGGAGGTGTCACCCCCTGGGCCATGTGGGGAGAAACCCACACTCAGCCTGCACTGTGATCTACACCCTCTTTTCTCACCTCACGTAAAGCCTGAGCTGCATGAGGTGATGTTCCACTTGTTGGTGTGATTTATTTACTCATCTGTTGCAGGTCTGTGCATACTTATTCCTGCACATTGCTCTGGTACTCTACCTGCTCCCTCACACCTCTCCCAGCTCTGTCCCTGCTCCCTTACCTCTCCCAGCTGTCCCTGCTCCCTCACACCTCTCCCAGCTCTGTCCCTGCTCTCTCTCTCACCTTTCCCAGCTCTGTCCCTGCTCCCTCACACCTGCCTCTTCACCACCACACAAACCCAACAGAGAGATGCAGTTCTGGCTCTTCAGTGCACACAGTGATCAGAAGCACCAATGTTCCCCCTGCAAAGCTTTGGAGATACCAATATCACCACTGGATATTCAAATATGAGCCCCAGACCCATCATTCCTCCACCCCCAGCCCTTGCTTGCTGATCCAACACCTCCACCTGACTCCATGTGCAAAGTCCTGGTTGTATTTGGTTTGGTAAAGTGCAAGACAGCAGTGACACAAGGCTTGGTGGTGGAGCTTCTACAAGAGATGATGTCAGCTAAGAGCAACAAAACTCCAACATCTTTTCAGGGATTCTCTGAGGCCACCAGAGGATGACAACAGGTGAGGACTACACTTGTCACACCTCACTCTTGGATTCCCACCTGACTGGAAGCACTGGCAACACACAGGACCCTCCTTCAGGCACGAGGAAAAAAGGACCAACAGCAGCTGCTCATGTCTCAGACCTTTCACGTTGAGCTCCCTCAAAGCCCCTTACAGTGCCATGGACACAGCAAAGCATGAGGCAGGGATGGCACACAGGTCCAATTCCCTAAGGAATGGGATAATGAGGAGCTCTCCCAGAAATCCCCCAGCCTGGCCTCTCTTCCCCCACAGTCCACCATGCAGCGAGCTGCTGCCACTTCAGGGATGGAGATACTTCCAGAGAGGTTCAGGAAGGCCCTGGATGGAATTCTCCTCAGAGAACTTGCTCAGTGCTGGATGAGGAAATGTCCAAGAGCCTCCAGGCTGCGTAGGGGTTGAGCTCATCCTGGTCCCTGCACAGGGCCCACACGTAGAGCATCCTCAGAACCTTGTCCTGCAAGGAAAATCCCATGGTTAGAGAGTGTGATGGATACAGACCTCTCATCTCAGCGCTGCTGGGGAGATGGTTTCATGTCTCCTGTCTGATGAGGAATGGCTGAGGGAGCCAAGGGGGCTCAGCATGGAGAAAAGGAGGTTCAGAGAGCACCTTCTGCTCTCTACAACTCCCTGACAGGAGGTGCAGCCAGGTGGGGATTGGGATCTACTCCCAGGAAACAACAGGACAAGAGGGAACAGCCTCAAGTTGCACCAAGGGAGGTTCAGGTTGGACATGAGGAGGAATTTCCCCATGGAAAGGGTAGTCAGGCATTGGGACTGACCAGGGAGATGGTGGAGTCATCACCCTGGAGGTGTTCAAAACACATATGGATGTGGCACTAGGCTGAATGGTGACCATGGAGATGGTTGGATTGATGACTGGATTGCTGATCTGGGATGTTTTCCAGCCTTAACACCCCCATGATTCCTTGAATCTCTTCCTCCAGACACTGTTCCTGTGATTTTCCTCTCCGCTTGCAGCTCCAACATCCACTCAATCGTGGTGAGAAATTCATCACAGGCAGGAACAGATCAAACTTCTGATTCCCAAAAATAGCATTAGGGTTCCCAAATCTCCCTGCCTGACACACATTACTTGGCACCACTGTCAAGTTGGATAACACTTGACCTTCTTTTGAAGCAGCAACTCCTGGTTTCAAACTGGCTGAGCTACCACTGCTGCTCTCTGGAACATTCCAGCAGGTTTAGGTTCTTTCCTGTGGCTCCAACTCTCTCCTGGGAGCTGAATCCTTCCCCTAGCTCTGCCACCTCCTCTCCCCCTTCCATGGAGCAGCTCAAATTAACCACAAACGTTGATTTCTATCATTTCAATCATCAAGCAGAGAGTATTTCCCTCAGAGAAGGATCCCTGAGGGCTCCCACTGGGCACTGGCTCAGCTCCCAGATGTGCCTTGAAGTACCTTTTGGTTTGTGTGAAGCTTCAGAGGTGAGAATTTAGGGACAGAAACGGAAGAGACTTTGTGTACCAGACAAGTCAGCAAAAATATCACATATCATAGAGATCTTTTTTTTTTTGGGTGGTTGCTCTATGTTGCTTCTGCTTAGAAGTGGTGAAAGTTTGAGTCCTGGAGATGGTTTGGGGGATATATGAGAAGGAAAAACAGAAAGGGAAAAAGAGAAGGAAAACATTGCCACAGCTAATGGATCTTTCCTGAGGACAATAAGCTCAGGAATAAGCTCAAGTGGGTCACAAAATAGATTTAACACTGCCAAGTGGAGCTTGAATTTAGGTGATTTTTAAGATTTAGAGTTTTCACAACTTGGGCCTGAAAGGGAATTTGATCCCATGCTCTGCTGCAGCTGGAAAAGTTCCTGTTCTTGGACATACAGGGCTGAAGAGGAGACAGAGCTGCATCCAGAGCTGACCAAGGAGCACAACTTTCCTCCTGGAAATGTGATGAGAGAGAGTTGTGGTGCCTGATCTGCTGCTTCAATGAACTGGGAATATCTCAATCCTCACTGGACACTGCACAGAACCACAGCAAGGGAGAGCTCTGTGCCCCCAAAGACACATCTCAGTGGTGGCCAAGAGCCAATTTGTCCTTGAATCCCACAAACACCACCTCAGGTCTTCAGGACCTCATTCCCAAGAGACTCCCTTGACCTGACAGGATTACCCAAGGCCTCTTTTTCCAAGGGAAATCTCTTCCCATGCCTGCAACACAGCAGTGAGAACCTCAGAAAAAAAAATCCGGGAATTACAAGCAAATATCTTCATTTTGCTTTGAGAATTTACCACTTCCAACTAGAAGCTGTGGCTGCTCCATCCCTGGGAGTGTTCCAGGCCAGGTTGGATGGGGCTTGGAGCAACCTGAGCTGGTGGAAGTTGTCCCTGCCCATGGCAGGGATGAACTGGATGATCTTTCAGCTCCTTCCAACCTGAACTAGTCCATGATTCCACGAATTTGAGGGTCCTTTTTCCCCTGAAATACCCTTTGTTCCACACTCTCCAGGAGCAGCTGAGCACTAACCCCAACTCCTAGTTCCTTGCCACTCGGTTCAAGCTGAAGTTTGCTTTCCCATGGGGAATTTGAATGCATCTCCTTGATTTATGGCTGCTCCAGAGAGATCAGACAGTAAACAGCCTCTGATATCCTGTTCAATAACGAGCCCATCAATATCTATCTTCTAGGAATGCAACTCCTGAATGCAAGAACTCCCTGGATCAGCTATTCCTCCCCTGCAGCCAACGTGACAGGTTGTAAATCAGCCCAGATGGGGCTCAGGATGGAAATGAATCCCTTTTTTTTTTCCCTGTTGGTCTGAACTAAAGACAAGGCTGGGAAAAGCCAATCTTTATTAAACACATGTATTAACTGCAATGAAAATCTCCTGGAATTTGCCAGTTCCCAATGGACATTAGACATTGTGAAGCTACTTAAACACTGCCCAGGCACAAGGCAGAGCTGCCTGGGGATGAGACACCTGGGAATAAAGGGATTCCAGGAACCACCCAGCTGCTGGCACTGGCTCTGGGAATGAGGATGTTGTGTGGTTCCACCTGACAGGCTCAGTTTGGCAGCACTCAAGACACAATCACAAGTGTCTCAAAGCCAAACCACAGCCAAGTGCAATGCACAGAGGATTTGCTCCACAAATCCCTCCCTGTCACAGGTTCCCTAGGAAGTCTGGATCATCCACAGCATGAACTACAACTGGATAGAGGAAGAGATTCAGGGAATATAGACTCATGGGGTTTTAGTTTCTGCCAGTGGATGAAGCCACAGTCAAAAAAAGGAACCAAAATTATTAACTGAGTGATTTTCCACACTTCCTGCAAATTATTTCACTCCAGGTCTTAGCTCTGGTCTTACAGTGCACTCAGGAAAGGGAAAGGGAGAGGGAAATAAAGCAGGATGAGGTAAAAGGAATGAGATGGAGCAGCAGGACAGCCCAAGGCTGTCCCACAGGATTCCTTACCGGATCACCTTCCACCACTTCCCCTTTGTGGTTCTTAATCACCATCACCACCTGAGCCTGGAAAGTGATGATTAGAACTGGTCCCTGCTCCATCATCTTCCCCATGGCCAGCTGCAAGGAAAGAATTCCATTAGGAAACACAGCACATCAAGTGGTTATCACAACTGCCATTCCTAACCTCTCCCAGAGCTGATCCAGGGATTTTCAGAGAGCCATCAAGGTTGGAGGAGACTTCTGAGATCATCCAGGCCAACCCTTAACCTGTCACTGCTGTGACCCCTAAACCCTAAACCATATCCTCCAGTGCCACATCCACACATCTCTTAGACACTTCCAGGATGGAGCAGCCACAGCTGCTCTGGGAAATCCATTCCAGTGCCTCAGCACCTCCCAGGGAGGAATTCCTTCCCAGTATCCCATGTAAACCTCCTCTCTCTCAGTCTGAAGCCATTCCCCCTTGTCCTGTCACTCCAGGCCCTTGGGAATAGTCTCTCTCCATGTGTCTTGTAGCTCCTTCAGGCACTGGAAGGCAACAGTTAGGTCACCCCAAAACTTCTCCTCTCCAGGCTGAACAACTCCAAATCTCTCAGTCTTTCCTCATAGCAGAGCTGCTCCATCCCTCTCATCCAAAACTCCTCCAACAGATCCATGTCCTTCCTGGCTGAGGACCAGAGCCAAACCACTCACTGCCATCACCTCCCTCCTCCTCCAGAACCATCTAGAACTGCCCTTCAGTCTCTCTCCAGCCATTCCTGCCCTGCCCAACCTTGAGTCATGGCAGGAATTAGCAGCCAGATCCCTTCTGGAAGCTCTGGGAATGTGCTGTTTGCCTTTGTGATTAGCCTCCCTCAATTTATCTGCTGCTAATTAAAACCAAGGTGCCCTGACAAGAAGGAGACAAACCACAGTGCTGCAACCTTGGCTTGAGCACACATTCCCATGAGCTTTCCCTTTCCAGCATGGAATCTGTCCCTCTGGCAGGAGAAATGCCAAACCCCAGAGGCAAAAAACCACCAGTTAGAGCAAAGAAGGTTGGACTTGATGATCTCAGAGGTCTTTTTTCTGACCTTAATGATGTTAAATAAACTTGTCCTGAGATGAGGAGTTTGGAAGCCATCCCAAAAAGTGAGATATGGAAGAAGATACTCACATCAAGGTTGTCAATATCCAAGATCCTGGAGTGGAACTGCAGCCCCAAGGCTTTGGCTTGCTGGATGGGATGAGCAAGTTGACTGTAAGTCTAAAGGAAGCAACAAAGTTGTATTACAGGTTTGGAATTGTTCTAGCAAACAGCAAAAAGCAATTTGTGCCCAGAGAGAACCACCAAAAACTGAGGAGAAGGAGCAAAATCAGATTTGGGCACTAGATACTGAGCAACGTGTCTTGCAAAGTATCCTAAAACCACAGGAAATCTCTGGGATTCACCAAATCCTCCCTAAAAAAAAAAAAATTGAAAAAATCCCCTTTTCCTGGCCAGGATGTGTATCCAGTGAGTGTACCTGAGAGCTCTGACAGCAGACAGGGAGAAACAGGCTGGAAAGCCAGCTCCTTTCCCAATTCCCAGCCAGGCCTGGAGCCAGCCCAGCAATTCCTGGCTCCTTGCAGGCACAGGCACATATGCTTCGTTATTTCTGCCTCCTAAGTGTTGTTGGGAGGGTGAATCTCTACCTGCTTCCAGCATTAGCATCACATTCCTGGCAAGGATCAAGCAAACAGGAAGGATTTGTCCCTCCCTTCCCCACCAAGGACCTTCTAACCTTCACCACAAGCAGTTAAATGTGCCTATCCCAAGAAATTCCTGGCAGAGGCACAGGGGAAAGGATTCTGAGGGCAGCAAGCACAGACAGCTTGACAACCCCCCCATAAATCCAAGGAGTTTAGCACATTTTTTACCTCACAGGTTGGGAATGCAACACTTTTAGTGCCCAATATCCCAAATTAACACCTGGCCAGAGGATTGATCTCCTGGATTCTCAGAAATACAAACTCTCTTTTCCTCCTTTGGTTTATTTAACTGATCATTCTTGATTCAGGAGCTTTATTTGTGATCACAACAAGCTCAGAAGTGTTTGATTTGGATTTTAGGAGCTGCAGGGAATCTGGTCCCTCTGTGGGGTCACTTCAGAGGTTGCCTGAAGCAACAAAGAAGATTCTTTGCTCTCAGGCTGCTTTAAATCTCTCAGGGATTGCAACAAGCTCAGAAAGATGTTCATCCCAGAGCATTCCATACCTAAAACTGCCTTTCCCAGCCCTCTGGTGGTGATGGATCAGCACAGAGAAGATTCACTTGGAGCAATTCAAGTCACAATTGGTTTGGAGCTTATTTTAAGGGGAAGACCTGAACAAATTCCATTTGTATTAGGGAAGAATCTGTTTTTCCTCCTACTCCTTCCCAGGTTTCAGTTTGGAGCTCTTTATCCTATCCCTGAGGAACTCTAAGGGGAGTTTGGCCTTGTCCTCTTGTGGTTTGATAAATCCCCACCCAGTGTCTCTCCTCCAGGCTAACTCAGCACAGCAAGCAAAAAAACCTCCCAAGAAACCCATTTCCAAGGGAAAAATCACAACTTCCCAGACATTTTTAGGAGCTTTACTTACTGCTTCATAGCACCAATCTTTGAGGATATCAAGTTCTCCACAGATCAGAGCCTAAGAGAGGAAATAAACCAGGAACATCATAAACCACCTCATGTATCAGAGTGGAAATCAGCACCTCCAGCAGCAAAATGCCTTAAATCCTTCATTTGGGGGAATTCTGGAGGAAAACAGGAGCTTTAAAAGGGAATAGCAATGAGGAGTTGTATGAACACACAGGAATCGAGTCTAAGGTGAATAAACCTGTTGCTAAAGCATCATGTCTCACCTCCAGGACGTTGGGGATGATGTCACACTCACACTGCTTCAGGAAACGATCCTTGTCAAAGCTTGGATCCACTTTGAGGATCTCTGTCAGAACCTCAGACATCTCTGTCTTGGAGAACAATCCACCTGAGGGGAAACAGCTCAGTGAGGTTGGAGGCACCAGAAAACAAGGCAAGATCTTTGGTTCTTTATCAGAGGCAGCTGGAAGAGTCAACATCAATACCAGGCTTGAAGTTAAGCCTGAGCTTTCTCTCCACACAGACTCAGCTCCCCCTCACACACTTCTGCACTGCCTCATCCTGCCCAGAGAGCCACACAAGACACTGGGCAACCTGTCCCAGAGGCTGCAGCAGTGCCAGGCAGGAGGCAAAGCTGAGGCTGGAGGTGCTTTTGGTGGAACATTACCTATAAGGTCGGTGACTCTGTCTGTGACAGCCCTGGAAGCTCTGATCAAGGCATTGTCACTCTCATCATACTTCATTTTCATCTCAAAGAACCCTGGAAGGAGAGGAGACATGAGTTCAGTAGCCTTTGCTGTGTTCTCAGGCAGCAAACATGCAAAGGGCTGTGGATCCAACTTGATACTTCTTTTCTAAGTCTCTTTACTCATTCCCAAGTGCCAATTCCAAGTTACTTTTCCTCCTCATCTTCCCACAATGTTCTTAACTCTCAATAACTGTTTCTTCTGACTTAGCTGTCACAAACTCTGCAAATTCTGTGCAGGTTTTCAGAGGGAAAACACACCAGGAAAAATCTTAGACCCCTCAGTTCATCCTGCTCCAAGGAGTAGCAGAGGTGAAACCAACACCACAGAGTTTAACTGGAGGAGAATCACAGAACAGACCTTAAATCTTGACAGTTTCTAAGCAAAGAGGCAAAAATCACTGAGGATTCAGTTTTGAAGTAGCTCTAACCTCTTCTCAACCTTGCTAAGGAACAAGCCAAGTGTGTCACAGCCACAGAAGTCACTGATGGGGAAGGAGAGCACATGAGATCCTCCAAGGCACAAAGGAAGGCAGAGAGAAACTAAAATAAGAGATATTTAAGCCTCCAGGCATTGATGCACCAAACTGAGCCTCAGCCACGCCATTATCTGCCTCTGGACATCATCAGAGGGCCCAGAACCACAGAAAGAGGTCGTGGGATAATGGACCCTGCAGGGAAGCTCCTTCCCACTGTGTCAGCTAATGACTGGAATCACAGCCTGAAGGATGAGCCTGCTGGGAAACACAGTGTTCTCGGGAAGGGAATACAGGAGGGACATGAAAGCAGAGCCTGGTGAAGTGACAGCACCTCCAAACCAGCCCTGGAAAGATGATTCAGGTCTAAAAACTCCCCCACTGGGAAGGGAATACAGGAGGGACATGAAAGCAGAGTCTGGTGAAGCTGCAGCACCTCCAAACCAGCCTTGGCAAGATGCTTCAGGTCTAAAAACTCCCCCAGGCTGAAGCAGGTGGCACAGGGCTGGAGGGTGTGGGATTTAGGAGCATCTCTCCTCAGAAAGGCTAACAAATGGGATAGAAAAGCCATTCCTGGACACCTACCAAGGAGCTCTGCTTTACAAAGTTGGGAAGAAACACAATGTAAAGATAATCCTGTTGTTGTGTTCCTGAACAAATCACTTGCCCTAGAGCAAACTGGCAGAGCTGGGTGGGATTTGTTGAGGGATTCTGGACTGAGGCTCCCAGAAACATGAAACATCTAAATAATTCCCAGAAATTCCTGCCATCAGCAGTGCAGATACTCAACAGCTTTAGGTTTGGCAATGAAGCCAGAAAGGAGGGAAAGGGCCACATATTCCAGAGCTCTGAGCAGGTGACAACAGGAATCAGCTCACTAGGGGCAGGCTTTTAGAATCCTGGAATGGTTTGGGTTGGAAGAGACCTGAAAGCTCATCCCATCCCACCCCCTGCCATGGTCAGGGACACCTCACACCAGTCCAGGGTGCTCCAAGTCCCATCCAACCAGGCCTGGAACACTCCCAGGGATGGAGCAGCCACAGCTGCTTTGGGAAATCCATTCCAGTGCCTAAGCACCCTCTCAGGGAAGAATTCCTTCCCAATATTCCCATCTATCCCTGCCCCCTGGCAGTGGGAAGTCATTCCCTGTGTCCTGTCCCTCCATCCCTTGTCCCAAGTCCCTCTGCAGCTCTCTTGGAGCCCCTTGAGGCACTGGAAGGGGCTCTGAGGTCTCCCTGGAGCTTCTCTTCTCCAACCTGGCCTGGAACACTCCCAGGGATGGAGCAGCCACAGCTTCTCTGGGCAACCTGTGCCAGTGCCTCAGCACCCTCTCAATTTATCATGCTTTTCCTCACTACAAGCTGAAGGGGAGGAGGAGACCTGCTGCCCTCTCCCTGCTGCCCTCCAAGCACACCCTGCTCTCTTCCAGTGCCAAATGAAGCTAAGTAGGAATAAAACCAGGGAAAAACAACAGTTCTCTTTAAGCAACAACAAAACCAGCTTTGGGTACCTACAGGGAGTGCTCAGAAACAAAGCCTGACTGGGGGGGGAAGGGTCTGGAGACAGATGGAGCAGCTTGGAAGAGCTGCAGCCTTGTCAACTCTGCCTCTCTCCTATTCACACCCCTCCCAGCACAGGCTCCAGCAGCCCCAAAATGCTTGGGGAGTTGTGATTTGCATTCTGTGGAGCCTTGAGGCACAGATGGCATCAGCTCCACCACAGCAAGGAGCAGGACTGGGAAATGAATGTGCTGCTGCTTTGGCTTTGGGCACTTACTATTGAAAACCACATTGTTGTCCTTGAAATCTTTCCACTGCTGATACCATTTGGAGTCTTTGTGCAGCACCATGCCCATGGCCTCCCTGGAAGAGGCAGAAAACATGGATAACTGTGAGAAATTAGCTTGTAAGAGAGAGGGAATAAAAAAATGGGCAATATCCTGAGGAATATCCCTGCAGCTTTTGGCATCACTGAGGCTGCTACAGCACAGAAATGATGTTTGACTTGGAGGAACAAGACAGAGAAGGCAAAGCAGCTCAGGCCTAATTCACCAGCAAATGTTGGGATTCATGGATTTATAGAATCATGGAATGGTTTGGGATAGAAGGGACCTTAGAGATACCTTCATCCCATCCCCTGCCATGGGCAGGGACACCTTCCACTAGCCCAGGTTGCTCCAAGCTCCATCCAACCTGGCCTGGAGCACTTCCAGGGATGGAGCAGTCACAGCTGCTCTGGACAACCTGTGCCAGTGCCACGGGAAGAAGCTGAGTGAAGATAACACACACCCGAGTCCAATTTTACCTCAGAACATCACATTTTATCTGTAGGATTTTCAGTGCCCAATTTCACCATAGGAAACTTCAGGCTCAACTTCTATTGGGAATGTGCTCTCAGATAAAACCTCTTGGATATTAATCCCTGACCTGGAGT